GCCTGGGTGGCTCAGTTGGTTAAGCGGCTGCCTTCGGCTCAGGTCATGATCCCAGGGTCCTGGGATCGAGCCCCGCATCGGGCTCCCTGCTCAGCAGAGAGCCTGCTTCTCCCTTTCCCTCTGCCTGTCGCTCTGCCTACTTGTGCTATCTCTCTGTCAAATAAATAAATTAAAAAAAAATCTTTAAAATAAAATCACCAAATTGGGCAGAATGTATAGCTTTCTCCAGCTCCACTACTAAATATATGACATCAGGCCCCAGAGTTGACTCCCTTCAACGGCTAATGGTGGGTTTACAAGGAGAAAGAGACCATCAGTTTACTTCTGCTATTCTTCTTATATATCATTTTGTGTGAGGACTTTAATTCGCTTCCTGCTTGACACCCTCCCCCACTGAAGCCTCGCTTCCTGGTTTGAAGAAAACTGACTTTTATAGTTGGTCTGCTTCTCCCAGTCCCTCCACTCACCCTTCAGTTCAAGTTGAGTAACCAAACTTCAGTCTAGAAACTTCCATGGATTTTCAGGGTTTGGAGCATTTTGGAGAATTGGGAGGTAAACTGAGGTTGGGACAGGCAGCTGTTTGTTTTCTCGCTTGCCTCTGCCTACATAAGATATTTGATGCCTATCTTCAAAGAAATGTTCACCCAATCACAGAGTGTTGGGTTAGCAAAGACATTTTCTAGTTGAACAAGTTCCAGCAATTTTTAAAACTTTGGCTCCCAGAGTGCAATGTCACTGAGGGGATTGAACTTTGTGGTCAATGCTTTATGTGGTTTATTATACCAAGGGGTATTTTGTTGATAGTTGTAGGTTATAACAGTAAATGATCAGGGCACCTGGGTGGCTCAGTCAGTTAAGCATGAGCCTTCAACTCAGGTCATGATCCCAGGACCCTGGGATCAAGCCCGGCCTAGCTCCCTGCTCAGTGGGGAGTCTGCTTCTCCCTCTCCCTCTGCCGCTCCCCTGCTCATGCTGGCTCTCTCCTCTCTCTCAAATAAATAAAAAAAAATCTTCTTTAAAAAACCAGTAAATTATCTGGGTACAAGTACCAGGAGCTGCAAAGAGAAATAAACCACAGTCTCACACTTCATTTTTCATTTTTGTTTTTCAGATGCAGGACTGGAGAGAATGAGATGATTTCTTTTATATTTTTCTTTTTAATTTTTTCCTTTAAAATCTGGGCCTTCATTGCCTGTTCGTACCTATTCAACACCAACAGCCAACAATTACCACTCTTTTCTGGCTCAAAGACTTATTGTTTTAGCTTTTTTTGGTTGTCCTTGTTAATGGAACTGTGTTTATAATTCAAATTTTAGAGTTGCAAAGAACCGTAGAGGTCATAGAGTTCAATCATCCCATTTGACTAATGAAGAAATTGAGGTTCAGCAGTAAAGTGTTTCCTTCCAGTTTATACAGCTCATCTCTCTTTTTTTTAAAGATTTTATTTATTTGAGAGAGAGAAGGAACAGGTGAAGGGCAGAAGGAGAGGGAGAAGCAGGCTCCCTGCTGAGTGGAAAGCCTGATTCTGGGCTCCATCCCAGGACCGGAGATCATGACCTGAGCCAAAGGCAGATACTTAACCGAGTGAACCACCCAGGCAGTCTAGGCAACTCATCTCTTGTAGAGGTGAGAACAGAACCAGGACCCTCACTCCAGACCATGTGCTCTTTTCTGTGCATGATGTTGTTCCCCTTTCCCTTGACCCTGCTTATTGATAGCCCCCTTTCTCTAGGCTCTCTAGGGCATTAGATTATAGGATATACAATTCCAAGAAACCCTGTTTAAGTTTTATTTGTTAGCAGATGGCCTTCGGATACTAACCTTTAGCTGACTTAGAGAACAGCCCATATCTTATTGATAGAAATTCTTCATGCTGATCTTTATTTAATTCACTGTTTCTCGGGATCCTCATCCTTTCCCGCTGGTTATTAATTATCAGGCAATATCCTCCTGAGCTGTCTCTATTTCTTAATTACCTTATTAATTGTATTCACATAAATTGATCTCTCTGACATTCTAAGTCTGAGTCACTGAGGAAATAAGTCTAATATTCACAAGAGACTTCAACAGTCTCACTGCCTTATTATTTCCATTAGGCAGACTGATATCACTAGAAGCCAGATGTGACTGCTTAGCTGAATGGGCCTTTATCCTAATCATAATTACAATGCCCTTTAACAATTCTTTCTTGCTCACCTTTCTTGCTTACTCAGACATACATGATACTTATCAGTTCATTTCTACCCTAGCTGCACTCTTTAATCTTTAACATAGAAGGAATTTCCTCCCTCATATTATCTTGCAGTAATCTTCTATTTGCAATTCAAGACAATTATGGTGAGTAAACATGAATGTATTTTAGTTTTATAGTTTTTATGTAACACTGAACCCTAAGGGCCTGATGCCCAATTAAGCATTTAAAACCAACTTTTTAAATCAAGTTTTGTGTTTTTTTTTTAAAGATTTTATTTATTTATTTGAGAGAGAGAATGAGATAGAGAGAGCATGAGAGGGGGGAGGGTCAGAGGGAGAAGCAGACTCCCTGCTGAGCAGGGAGCCCAACGCGGGACTCGATCCTGGGACTCCAGGATCATGACCTGAGCCGAAGGCAGTCGCTTAACCAACTGAGCAACCCAGGCGCCCCTTAAATCAAGTTTTTACATACAAAGATAGTTTCTTAATGTGTGCTATTTAAGAACTCTTTTTTCCCTTTCATGACAAGGTATGCTTCTGTTAACCCCAACTTTTATGAAGTGACAAGAGTAAACAGGTTCTTATATATAAGTTGGCCATTGTTCCATACAATCCTTTCTATATTTGCATTAGAAATGGTTGACCTGTAGGAAATTAGAGCTGAAGACTAGAATCCCTATGAAAAAAAAATAGATCTTAAAAAGAGAATTCCTATGCATGTTTATTTGTGGTTGGCAGCAAATCAGCTCCCATCTCTCAGAAAAAAAAGAGTAAGATAAATTAAAAATGCCAGTGTTGTTCATAATGAGAAAAGTGGTCACCCAGGTGCCACCAATGGGCAGATTTTGTTTTTGCTGAGAGTACAAGCACCCAGTTTGATCATCCACATGACCGAGTCTCTTCATGTTATCACCACGCCTGGGGAACATTCACTGGGGTTCTATAGATACTACCATCTCGAACTACTTCCAGCTGAACTCATCTTTTCACTGCCTTGCCCATTCACTCATCCCACCCATTCCAACAACCTGGATGTCATCCTCTAGACTCTTCCTCTCTCCCTCTCACCTGCCAAGATGCTTCATCTAATCAGTTAAGTTCACTTCCATTGATTTGGCCTTCTTATTCTCTTCAACATATTTCTTGTGGTGCTGCTGCTTCAGCTCCACTCCTCAGCCTTTCTTTCTCAATGTATTGCATCTGATTTCAAAGGCATCCCCTCTTCCACTGAATGACTTAAGGCCCTCCTTGACCAGCCTCACTAGTCTTATACCTCTATTGCCCTTCCTCTCATTCTATACTTTTGCCAGGTTTAGCCATATCCACAGGTCCCAAACCTCCCATGTGATTTTGTATCCCATCCCTCTGCATGTTCTCTTTTTTTCTTGGAATGCCATTCTCACCTAATTTTATCTGTCAAACTCTAAGATTCTGGTCAAGCATTTTTTCCTGGAAAGCTATGGTGGCATTCCAAATAGAGTTGAGCATTCTCTTTGTGCATCTTTTTTAATTTGTACAGATCTCACCATTATATATTTATTAACTGTACTGCAATCATTTGTGTGCCTATGTTTCCTTTTAGAATGTAACTTCCCCAAAGGCAGGGAGTATGGTTTTTAATTTTTTTCACTTTCAGGATCTGGCTCATTATGTCACACACCATAGATTCCCAGTGAGTATTATTCACATGAATGAAGGAATCTAGGATCTGTTGAAATTCCTCCAAGTTACATTCTTATGATGAGGGAGCAGAAGGCTGACTGAAGACAAAGCACAAGCTGACACCCCACAACCTCCCCCCCCCCCACTCCTGGGTGGGACCTACATGACATTCTTCCAGTAATCTCCTAACTGTCTTAATGTTAATGCCTTGCTGGAGGGGGAAAAACAACCTTAACTTGACAATGGCAAGGCCTCCGGTATCTTGTAGGTCCTCTTTAGCATATGAAAGTTCTCTCGAAAGAAACCTCCCTTTTCTTTATCTCCCCCAACTCCCAAGTATATAATCAGCCACCCCACACAACCCCGGGGCAGCAGCTCTTTCTGCCCACGGGTCCTGGCCCCCTGCTTTAATAAACCACCATTTTGCACCAAAGACATCTCAAGAATTCTTTCTTGGTCGTCAGCTCCGGACTCCACCCCATTGAACCTCACCTAGATTCCAAAACCCCATCACTTATGTTTGGTTTGATCCAAATGTCAAGGGCCAGTTTGTTGCCCAACCAGTGTTTTTTGTCAGCCTGCCTACAAGCCTGCCCTTTGTCTAAAACGACTAAGAGTGAGGTAGAGGAGACGCAGTCACTCCGTGCAACAAGAGTGTGCCACCCGCCTCGGTTAAGTGTCATGGGGTAGGGAATGGCTTTGGAGTGAAACTGACTTCAGTTTAAATTCCAGTTTGCCCCTTACTCCATGTGTGACTTTGAACAAGTTTCACTGACTTTCCTGAGCCTCAAAGTTGTCATCTATAAATGGCAATAATAATAACAGCTGCCTTCCGAAGTCACTGTGAAGATTAAATCAGTTAAAATGTGTAAAGTACTTAACCACAGTCCTTGTTGTGTAGTAAATTCTCAGTAAATGACAGTTGTTATCATTATCAGTACCTTTATTATACAATCCTCTGTAGAGGGTAGGCAGGGAGAAGTGTGGTACTGCTTTCCTGTCATCAAGGGACTCCTTTTCCAAAGGTAAGTGTACTATCAGGGTGCTTGTCCAAACCATAGAACACAGGCAATTATTTCAGTAACTGTTTTCACAATTGTCCAAGGATGGGCGCTAACTGGTGCCATTCTTTGCCTAGGAGAGATGTTAATTCATTATGCAAAGTATGCCTTAGGGCATTAATTCTCTCCCTTAGAGAATGGCACAGTGACCCCCACATTATGGCCTAAACTCATTGGGCTAGTGCGCTGGAAATGTATTTTTAGAATCAGTAATGAAGTTTATAAGACACTTAGTGACATATAAAATAAAAGAAAGTTTTCTTTATATAGACCCTTTTAACTGTTTTGTGCCTGTAAGATATAGGGAAAAATTTTGTGGTCAAAAGGCTGCTGGACTAGAAGTTAGAAGACTGACTAAACAGCTTACTCTGGGAAAAACTAAGGATGGTTACTCACATAGGTGTTGAGAGCTTCTAACACCCCTATAATGAGGGTAAGACCCATCCTGTTGACAGTACCAATTGTTGAGTGTTTTATTTTTATTTTTATTTATTTTATTTTTTTTCTTGAGTGTTTTAAGTCACATCATATATTTGAAAGTGTTACACAATTTATAAAGTGCTATACAGTTCTGAGTTATTATGAAGATGATTATTCTGTTTGACTGCCCTCCTGCTTCCTTTACCAGATGACACTAATCAGCCCAGATGTCTAAGAGCAACTCGACTGTTTCAGAAATGAGGAAATGAGTGGCTTTAGTTAAAATTGCCCAACTTTTATCTGTTCTTTTCCTGTCTTTCATTCTTGTGCTGCTGGGCTTCCCTTGGCCTTTTCATTGACTATGAAAGATGTATTCATGTGATACCAGTTGCTATTTCTAACTGCTTTTCTGAAAATTGTTAAAAACTCAAAGCATCTGTCCTCTCTGTCAGGCCACTTAACCAAGCTCTAGGATCATGGGAAATAGCCCAGAAAGCCCAGATGAGTCTTTTAATGTGCTGAATGGAATTATCTTTTGATTTGTCTTTGCAGGTTGGAAGCATGAGTGAATTTAGCTATTATTTCCTTTTTTGGATGTGAGCTAGCTACTTTAAAAAATTGAGTCTGTATTTTCTACTAGATTTCCCTTCTGGACACTTGGGTACTCCCTCTATTCAGAGCATCAGAAACCAAGGTAGGTTCCAGGCTAGCTATCTTAATGGAGAGCAAGTTAAAAAATCATCAATCTTTCTCATTAACCCACTGCTGGAAAAAAATTTACATTACCTCCAATACCATTTCAAACCCTCTGACTTAAGACTAGAGTTAGATGTTAACCTATACCCAGAAATAATCTGGTTCTTCATTTCCAGTCAAACTGTTCTATACTCAATAATTGTCAAACATGCCATGTTCTGCTCCTTCATTTTTGGTTATTGTGGCTCTCCTCTTGATACCCTCTATCTTTTCTCTCTCACTGTGGGAAGATGAAACAAAACAAGAAGTCATCAATTAAAACTCTGCCCCCTTAATTCTTCCTTGTCCCCTCCTGATCCCATTTGAGATCTTTTTCTCTTTCCCCTGATGCTTTCGTCATTCATATTATACATTTTAGGAATTATTGATAAAAGTCTATCTGTATTTTATTTGGTAACTTTTAAAATAGCTTCATGAGTTCTTTTTCTCTGACCCAAATTGCAAGGACAACATCTTAAATTTTCTTTATTGGTACAGAATTTTAACTGACTTGTAGTTATTATACAAGTTTATTATTACCATTTAATAGATATTATTAATATTATTATTATTAATACCTGTGAATTCACTGGTAATAACGGAGGGTTCAGTGGAGACTGTGGGTTGTCCCTGAACTCACTTATACATGTGGGGATACAACTGTCCTCACCATTACACTTAATGGAGAAATGCTCAGAAAACCATGTGATAGCATGGGTGCGTTTAGATTGGTGAAAGCTGAATTTTAAAATTGTATGCATGTCAGCATATTATGTCTTAATATTTTGACTCAACCACAAAGCTTTCTCTTATTAGGGACTTCAACTTATGAAACTGAAGCAGTCCCTTTCTGGCTCCCTCAGGAAAAAGCTGAACAAACAGATGGGCCTTCCTTGGAATGTCAACCAACAAGAGCCCTGCTTCTGCTGACAGAGGTTGTAAATTTTACTGGTGACCCCACTAGAACATAGGCTCCACTGCCCAGTTCCCCTGGAGAGCTGTAGCTAAAAATAACAAAGCCAGAGCCTATCTTTATTGCACTGGTACCTTTCTTTAAGAGGCCCAATAACTAGCAAGGCTAACACTAGAAGTTGAGGTCTATTCTTCATGCCCCTAAAATTTTCTGCTCCCAACACAGCTGCAGTGGTTACTGTCAAGCTTTAACAATTTCAACTACATCAAACTAAAAAGCTTCTGCACAGCAAAGGAAACTATCACAAAATGAAAAGGCAACCTCCAGAATGGGAGAAAATATTTGCAAATCATGTATCTGAGAAGGGACTCGCATCCCTAATATATAAATATATAAAGAACTCATAGAACTCATATGACTCAATACCAAACAAACAAACAGCTAAAAACTGGGCAGAAGAACTGAATAGACATTCTTTCAAAGAAGACATGTAAGTGACCAACAGGTGTTATGATAAGGTGCTCAACATCACTAATTATCCAGAAAATGCAAATCAAAACCAAAATGAAATATCACCTCACACCTGTTAGAGTGGCTATCATCAAAAAGACAAGAGATAACAACTGCCAGGAAGGATATGGAGCAAAGGGAACTTGTGCACTGTTGCTGGGAATATACATTGGTGTAACCACTCTGGAAAACAGGATGGAGGTTCCTCAAAAAATTAAAAATAGAACTACTATAAGATCCAGCAACCCCACTTCTGGGTATTTACCCAAAGGAAATGAAATCACTGTCTCAAGGAGATATATGTACCCCAATGTTTGTTGCAGCATTATTTATAATAGCTAAGACATGGAAATAACCTAAATGTCCATCAAAAATAAATGTACAAATAAGATATATATGTATACATATACATATACATACATACACACACACACACACACATATATATATATAATGGTATATTATTCAGTTATTAAAAAAAGGGAATCCTGCATTTGCAAAAACAAGGATGGATCTTGAGGGCATTATGCTAAGTGAAATAAGTCAGGGAAAGACAAATACTGTATGCTCTCATTTATATGTGGAATCTAAAAAAACCAAACTCATAGATAGAAAAGATTGGTTGTTGCCAGAGGCAGCAGGGGATGGGGGAAGAATGGGTGAAGGAGGTCAAAAGGTACAAACTTCTAGTTATAAGATAAATAAGTCCTGGGGATGTAATGCACAGCATGCTGACCATAGTTAAGAATATTGCATTGTATGTTTGCAAGTTGTTAAGAGAGTAAATCTTAAAAGTTCTCATCACAAAAGAAAAGCATCAAAGCTCCATAAGGTGATGGATGTTAACTGAACTTACCGTGGTAGTCATTTTATAGTATACATACATATCAGATCATTGGACTAGTACAATGTTCTATGTTAGTTATATCTGCATAAAACTGGGGCAGGGGAAGCTACCCAATGCTTTAAATTTTGCTATTTGAAAAATGATCTTTTTAATTGATACATTCTCTAAGGAAAACCTAGGAACTTTGAGTTACAAAATAATTTAAATTTAAAAAAATAATTTGAATAAAAAGTTGATAAAGCTAATTGATTCACATTTTCCCATGGGTTTGTAGTAGATGAAGACCTTCCCTGGTCTCACCTCTTGGATGATACTTATTAGAGAGGAACCAAGAAACTCCATGCTTGGGAGAGGCTGAGCACCCTGGCCAAATGCTTCTTTCATCCATTCCTAAACTTACAGGAAATTTTAAACTAACTTTTAAACTTTAATAGGTGTCAAACTTCCTTTGCATAGAATAATCTTATGCCAAACCCTACTGTTTTTAGTATTGAATATTATTAATTATAGAAAAATTGATAATATAAGAGGATTAGAAATAACCTACATACCCAACAATTGGGAAAATTGGGAATTAGTTATGGTGTATCCAGATTAAAAAAGATCTAACAATTTCAGAGAGGATGCTGATGATCCAGAAACCTTTCTTTGTTAACAAATGATTCAGAGGCATTAGCTATTCCCTATTTATTGAAGAATTTCTCTTTTCCTTTCAGATGAATCCGAAGAAACCTTGCAAATGTCCCTATAGTCAGCAACCTGTGCTTTGTGCAAAATAGGCTCTAGACAGAGATTTGTTAAATCAAATTCTGTAAAAAGCATAACTCTATTTCCTGAGTTAGTTTAAGATGTATCTTGGAATTTTAACATTTCTTTCTTTTTAAAACATTATTATAATCATTAAGAATGAGCCAACTTGATTTCATAGTGAATTACCCATCTCTTGTCTTTTTCTCCAGAGTCTTAATCATTTCTGTCAAAGAGATGAGCCAGGAACACCTTGTTAATGCCAAAATGGCTAGAATGTCCTGGCTTTGGAGGTATTCTCTATAGTAGGCTGCACCATATGACATTGCCAATATTTGACTATTTTTTACTTTCAAAGATGGTAGTTTTACAGTCAACAAAACCAAAAGACAACTCACAGAATGGGAGAAGATATTTGCAAATGACATATCAGATAAAGGGCTAGTATCCAAAATCTATAAAGAACTTATCAAACTCAACACCCAAAGA